GAGGAGGAGGAGGAGGAGGTATGACAGGAGCTGGTTTGGTGAACAGGCGGAGCTCGAGGAATGCCGGAAACGAGAGGAAGAGGCGATGGCGGAGGTGAAGCAGCAGGAGAGCGAACTCAAGTAAGACGACAAGTAGAGGGAGATGCTCCGACTGACTAGTCGCAGAGAAAGTGCGAGCCTGGTGCGAACTCTCCGCGGGCAACTCAAGGCGGCGGAGGAGGAGAGGAAGCGTGCAGAGGAGGTTGAGGAAGGGGGAGGAGGAGGAGGAGAGGGAGTGAGAGGAGTGCAGCAAGCGATGGACGAGACCAGCGCAAGGGAACGGGCGGAGGAGGAGAGGAAAAGAGCAAGAGAAGAAGTGAAGCGAGAGGTGCCGCCGCCGCCGCCGCCGCCTCCTCCTCCTCCTCCACCACCACCACCACCACCACCTCCTCCTCCTCCTCCTCCTCCTCCTCCTCCTCCTCCTCCTCCTCCTCCTCCTCCTCCTCCTCCTCCTCCTCCTCCTCCTCCTCCTCCTTCTCCCCTTTGACTCCTCAACAGCGCGAAAAGTGGAGCAAAGAGCTGGAGGATGAGCGAGCTGCCGCAGACAAGTACTCTTCCTTGCTCCTCTTCCACCACCACCACCATTTCTTCCTGCTCCTCCTGCTCCTTCACTTCCCCCCAATACTCTACTCTCTCTCCTTCGTACTTCTCTGACTGACTTCTTGCAGGAGCCTTGCTGAGCTGCGCGAGACTGTTCGACGACTGCGGCTACAGGTGAAAGACGAGGAGAGGAGTAGGAGGAGAGGAGCAGGAGGAGAGGAGCAGGAGGAGAGGAGCAGGAGGAGAGGAGCAGGAGGAGAGGAGCAGGAGGAGGAGGTAGAAGTTACAGAGGGTCTGACGAGGAGGTCAGGGAGCAGGAGCCCGCGAAGAGGAGCTGGAGGAGCTGAAGCGCAAGATGGAGGAGGAGGAGAAACTTCGACGATCGGAGCTTGAGAAGGAGCTCGAAGCACTGAGAGCAGAAGTGAGTATGCGGGAGGTTGAGGGAGATGCTGATGGCTGAGCAGAAGGAGAAGCTGGAGGTTGTCGCGGCTGAGTAGGAGAAGGCGAAGGGGAGGCAAAGAGGCTGAAAGTCGATGCAGAGCGACGAAGCGCTGGCAGGAGGAAGCGGAGGAGCAGAGAAGAGCGATGGAAGACATGTGGGAGAAGAGAGAAAAAGCGAAGAGACTGACATATAGAGCAGGCGAAACAGCGAGAAAGAAACGCTTAGGCGACTTGAGGTGAAACCTGAATTCCTTGCCCTTTTTCTCAACCATTCAAATCTCCTCCTCCTCCTCCTCCTCCTCCTCCCCTACCCCACCCCTCCACCACAACCACATCATCATCATCGTCGTCGTCGTCATCATCATCACCACCACCACCACCACTTCTCTTGTAGTGCTGTCGCCTCTATTTTTCCTGTCTTCTCACTTCTTTGCAGAAGGAGGCTGAAGCTGCTCAGGCTGAAGCTGCTCGGCTGGTAGGGGCAGCGATAGAGGAGGAGGAGCTGATCTAAAGGAGGAGGAAGAGGCAGGAGAGGGAGGGGAGGAGGGGGATGGAAGGGGGGTAGAGAGGGAGAGTACAAGCCAGGGGGAGGGGGAGTGAAAGATTTCTGAGCAGCTTCGATGCAGGAAGCTCTTCGAGCCAAGTTAGCAGAGGAACACGCGGCTGACTTGAAGGCTCGCGTAAACAAAGTGAGATGACGAGGAGGAGGACGAGGAGGAGGAAAGGGGAGGGGGGAGGGAAGAGAATGATGAAAGGCGTGGAAAGAAGTAGCAAGCGATTAACTAGATGCAGGTGAAAGAAGCTGCAAAAGCTCAACTGCCAGTAAAGGTGAAAGAAGTAGCAAGCAGGTGAAAACCTCTCTCTCTCTCTCTCTCTCTCTCTCTCTCTCTCTCTCTCTCTCTCTCTCTCTCTCTCTCTCTCTCTCTCTCTCTCTCTCTCTCTCTCTCTCTCTCTCTCTCTCTCTCTCTCTCTCTCTCTGTTCATGTGTCTACTTGCCTCTTCTCACGCAACCCAGCGCCTATTTCAGAGTCGAAAAACTCTTGCAGGAAGCAAATCGAGAATCCTTCGCTCCCTCAGAGGTTCCTTCATCTCCTCCTCCTCCTCCTCCTCCTCCTCCTTCTCCTCCTCACTTCGGCTCAGGTTCTTGAGTTCGTCTTGGAATCGCTCAAGCTTTCGACCTACGAGGCGACGGGCGAGGCTCCTCCAAGCATGACGGAAGGCGGAGGGCATGAGCGTGTGGAGAAGGCAGAAGAGAAACAAGACGACGGAGAGAAAGCGATCCAACTACCTGACGACCAGGCAGCAGCAGCAGGAGGAGGAGAAGCAGCAGGTGGAGAAGCAGCAGGAGACGGAGAGGGAGAGGGAGAGGAGGCAGGGCTGGGTGGAGGGGATGTAGGAGGAGGAGAGGAAGGAGCAGGAGAAGGAGCAGGTGATCAAGAAATTGCGAGGGAGGAAAAAGCAGAGAGGAAGAAAGCAAAACAAGGAGGCAAGAAGGGCGGGAAGAAAGGAGGAAGATGAGCGATCAAGCAAGGGCGACGAGGAGCACAGAGGGTCACATGACATCATTACATCAAACAACACATACTATCGCTGTTACTCCCAGGATCGACAACAGGAGCTTCTGCCATCCCGGTTGTCCCCCCCCTCCTCCCCCTTCTCCTCCTTCCTTGCTGCTCGTTATTTGCTTCGCTCCCTTGCTGTTCAGCTTCCTCGGCGTGAGCGGCTCTCCCGCGCCCTCTCGCAGTCGCACCCACATGCTCGAGAAGGCCTCTCCTCGCGAGAGCAGGAGCGCGACAGGAAGCAGGAGGGGCAGCAGCAGCCTGTGCGTCAAGCCCTCGCGGAGTAGGAGACCCAGGAGGAAGGCGAGGCCTCTGTCTCCCCTGCTGCCTCGTCAGCTGCGTCGGAGGTCGCATGGTCACATGGTTCACCCCAGGGCTCGCAGCAGAGGAAGGGAGGGCGAAGGTGAGGCGAGGGTCCTCCCTGTGATGCTCCAGTTCAGGTCGAAGAGGGGAGGAAGGAGCAGGCAGGCGAAGGGACAAAGCAGAGGAGCAGCAGCAGCAACAAAAGGGAGAGGAGCAGAGCAGAGGAGCAGCAGCAGCAACAAGAGGGAGAGGAGCAGAGCATGGTGAGGAGGAGAAGAAGGCTGAGGGGAAGGGAGAGAGAACCTCTAGGTGAGGCTGGAGAGCTCAAGGTCCTCTTGGCAGGGGAGGAGGGGATGGCCTGCTGACTTCGCTTCCTCATCGGAGAAACTCGTGGGGAGGCGACAAGAGGGGAGCAGACGCGCAGGAGCTCGAACTTGCGCGTCTCGATGATCGCCTTGATCTGAGCCCACGCCTACACCAAGTTCTCTCAGTAGCCCCTACAGGTCGCGTGCCAAACTTGCTGGCTCTCCTTTCTTCACTTTTCCTTCTCTTCTCTCCTCTCCTCCTTTCTACTTTCTCTCTTCTGCTTCCTCGTCATACCTCGTCGGTAAGCCATCCTCGCTCTTCATCGAAGTAGCGGCAAGAGGAGGAAGCGTTGAGCAAGAGTCGTTCCATCTGTTCCCCCAGTCAGTGCCGCACTTCCTTCCTTTCCTCCTGCCTGAGGCTCCTGGATGTCCACCAGCTGCAGCACCTGCTCAAGACAGCTTCAGGCATGCGTGTCCTCCCCCTCCTCCCCGCGCACTCTTCCTCTACTTGACATTACCGTGACAGCTCGCCAAGGAACCTCCAGCAGCCGGTGGTCGCTTCTCCTCGGCTTGTTGCCCAGCAGCTTGCTTGCCACCTGCTGCTCGAAGCGTTGGAGCTGGAGAGGATACATCTGCGAGAGCTTAAGAACGACAGCATGGGGCCATAGGGACAGCAGGCGGCTACAGACAAGACTTGGGGGAGGAGAAGCGAAAGGATGAAGCGAGAGAGAGAGAGGATAGAAGGGGGCGGGAAGGACAGGAGTGGATGGGAGAGGAAGAGGAGGAAGGGGTCAGGAGGAGAGGACGATAGGAGACCTGATACATGAAAGAGGATGGCTCAGAGGAGGGATCGAACCCTCTCCTCACCCATAACGACTTGAACGGACCGTCTCGCATCCTGGCAACCAGTCACCGTTTCTTCCACGTAAGACAGTGAACTACCGGTAAGCGACGCCCGGAAGGGCCTGGCGAATGGCCTCACGGCTGCTCGCGAGGACATTGCGAAGAGCGAGGGAAGACCAGACAGGACGAGAGCCGAACGCTTCCTGCAGTCGCGCTGAGAGCTCCGGACCCTTCTTCTTCCTCTTCCTCCCTTCCGTCGACGGCGACGAGAACTCCCATTGCGACTGCTCCTCTTGCGCTGCTCTGCCTCTCGCATGTGATCCACTTCTCGTCGGTGATCTAATGGTTTCAGATTTGGCTTGCGGCAACAGAGGGAGCGAGAGGAGGAGGAGCAGGAGAAGGGAAAATCTCATCTCAACCCCCTCAGCCACCAGGAGGATTCAATCCGAGAGGCAGCTGAAGGATGATGGAGCAAGCATCACTTGGCGTAGTCAATCATATTCGTATCAACGCAACCACATCGCAACCACATCATGCCCGCAGCATCGCCACCATCAACCATTCGTCCTCTCCTCCTCCTCCTCTCTCACGCCCCTCCTGCCCTGCCCTTCTCTCCTTCAGTACTAACCCTGATTCCTTGCAACGGTAAACCGTTACAACCCAAGTGTCGACGGTTTAGGGCTTCAACCGGCCGCGCCCGATGATGCCCCGAGCCCGACAACTGAGATCGAGTATAAGAGCTTTGTAGTATGACAGATACAAGCTCTTGTAGTATGACACTGATACAAGCTCTTGTAGTATGAGACAGATACGAGCTCTTGTAGTATGACAGATACAAGCTCTTGTAGTATGACACAGATACGAGCTCTTGTAGTATGACACAGATACGAGCTCTTGTAGTATGACACAGATACGAGCTCTTGTAGTATGACACAGATACGAGCTCTTGTAGTATGACTGATACGAGCTCTTGTAGTATGACACTGATACGAGCTCTTGTAGTATGACACAGATACGAGCTCTTGTAGTATGACACAGATACGAGCTCTTGTAGTATGACACAGATACGAGCTCTTGTAGTATGACACAGATACGAGCTCTTGTAGTATGAGACAGATACGAGCTCTTGTAGTATGACACAGATACGAGCTCTTGTAGTATGACACAGATACGAGCTCTTGTAGTATGAGACAGATACGAGCTCTTGTAGTATGACACAGATACGAGCTCTTGTAGTATGAGACAGATACGAGCTCTTGTAGTATGAGACAGATACGAGCTCTTGTAGTATGACACAGATACGAGCTCTTGTAGTATGACAGATACATGCTCTTGTAGTATGACAGATACGAGCTCTTGTAGTATGACACAGATACGAGCTCTTGTAGTATGACACAGATACGAGCTCTTGTAGTATGAGACAGATACGAGCTCTTGTAGTATGACAGATACGAGCTCTTGTAGTATGAGACAGATACGAGCTCTTGTAGTATGACACAGATACGAGCTCTTGTAGTATGAGACAGATACGAGCTCTTGTAGTATGAGACAGATACGAGCTCTTGTAGTATGAGACAGATACGAGCTCTTGTAGTATGAGACAGATACGAGCTCTTGTAGTATGAGACAGATACGAGCTCTTGTAGTATGAGACAGATACGAGCTCTTGTAGTATGAGACAGATACGAGCTCTTGTAGTATGACACAGATACGAGCTCTTGTAGTATGACACAGATACGAGCTCTTGTAGTATGACACAGATACGAGCTCTTGTAGTATGACACAGATACGAGCTCTTGTAGTATGAGACAGATACGAGCTCTTGTAGTATGACACAGATACGAGCTCTTGTAGTATGACACAGATACGAGCTCTTGTAGTATGAGACAGATACGAGCTCTTGTAGTATGAGACAGATACGAGCTCTTGTAGTATGAGACAGATACGAGCTCTTGTAGTATGACACAGATACGAGCTCTTGTAGTATGAGACAGATACGAGCTCTTGTAGTATGATAGATACGAGCTCTTGTAATATGACAGGTTCAAGCTTCTGTTCTGTCCTCCACTGGTACTTGCACTTGTTTTGACTTGCTCGCAGCTTCTTACATCGGTCTTTTGTCTGCTTTGGTTGTCTGTGTGTTTGTCAGTCTGGAGTAGGTCCGTTAGGTGAGGGCTAACAAGGGGTGGGTGATCGCCCTGCGTTGTCAGGAGATGAAGATGAGATGAAAGCAGAGAGACAGAGAGACAGGTAGGCAGATAGGAAGACAGGCAGGTAGGCAGGTAGGCAGGCAGGCAGGCAGGCAGGTAGGCAGGTAGGAAGACAGGCAGATAGGAAGACAGGCAGGTAGGAAGACAGGCAGATAGGAAGACAGGCAGATAGGAAGACAGGCAGGTAGGAAGACAGGCAGATAGGAAGACAGGCAGGTAGGCAGGTAGGCAGGTAGGCAGGCAGGCAGGCAGGCAGGCAAGCAGGCAGGCAGGTAGGCAGGTAGGCAGGCAGGCAGGTAGGAAGATTTATCTTTTAATCTTTGTGGTGGACATTACCTGTCTTGCTGTTTCTGGTTTCTTTTGTCTGCCCTTCTTATGTTTTCATGCTGCATCTTTTCTCTTTCCTCTGTTTTCTTCTGGTTTTGATGATTCACTTTTTGCTTCATGCATTCTTTTCTGCTCTCTTCTTCGCATTCCCCGTGCCTCTCTTTGTTGCTTGTCAAAGGTCTTGCTTCACTTGATACTTTTCCTGTCAAAGGTGGAGCAGGAGGAGTGGAGATGGAGCGAGACAAGACTTCATCGGTGGTGCAAGACAGGCGAGCCAACTCATTTCGGAACCTTCGGATGCGCAAGGACAGAGAGGAGCGCGAGCGGGAGGAGGTCAGACGTCCCTCCTCCTTCTCTCCTCACCTCTCCGCAGCGGAGCAAGACAGACCCCAACATGATCGCTGAGAACGTGAGACGAGCCTGCTCGGTCGCTCCTGAAGCTGCTGCAGCTGAGGCTGACGGTGCCGTCGAACGGGCTGATAGGAGGAAGTCTGAAGCCGAGCGAGCGAGAGCTGGAGCAACCCAAGTGGCGCAACCTCTTCGATCAGACGCGAGAGACGCGAGAGGAGGTTGTGACCTCCCACAACTTCCGTAAGGTGAGACGAGGAGATGAGAGGACGAGGCGAGGAAAGCATGTGCAGCACAAGTCTGACATGCTCCCAGGTCTGCATTCAGCTGGGTCTGCCATTGTCGGACGAAGACCTGGAGGTGAGGGAGGAGGGAGGGAGAGGAAGGAGGGAGAGGAGGGAGGGAGAGGAGGGAGGTAGAGGAGGGAGGGAGAGGAGGGAGGGAGAGGAGGGGAGGGAGAGGAGGGAGGGAGAGGAGGGAGGGAGAGGAGGGAGGGAGA